TAATAGTTAGAATAGGGTTCGGGGGTATATTATACAAACCCTAAAAAAACTTCAAAATGAGGGTTTCCGAAAATAGGGGACCCTAATCGAGTACCCCTTTTAGTAGGGTTCTTATTATAAGGAGCCCCAAAACCAGGTACCGGCCCCCTATTTTCGGAAACGCCCAAATCGTGTCGGCGAGAGGCGGCACCCGAGAGTCTGCGCATCCGAGGATGGCTGTGTGTGGTGCCTGATCGCTGGGGTGCTTTCATGATTGGAGGAGAACTGTCACGACAAAGTAGTTGAAATTTTGGGATTCTATCGGGGTAATGCTTTTCGCCGTGCATTCGTTTTCATAATGTTTGGAGTCGCTAGGCTTAAGGGCTAGAGTGGTCTGGAGTGAGGGTTTCGGGTTGGGGTACACCTGTAGGCCCTTCTAAACGTCTAAGTTCTCTAATATAGGTGCCGTAATAACTTCAATAGGGTTTGGGGGCCCGTTATACTATAATTATAATAAGGAACCCCCAAAATAGTATAGCTAATTATTTAAGCCCCTCTATTAATTCTTCCAGCATGTCCACCAAAACCTGCGCACCGCTTCCAACACCTTAGAACATACAGATGGTTCTTCCCCCTTTTAGGGCTCCTTTTATGAGAGTGCCGTACTGTTTGGGGGACGTCTAAAAGGATATTTTTAGAAACCCTATAAATGCCCTTATAGATCCTTTTAAGAAACCCCAAAAAGGGACCCATGACATGAAGCTCCCATAACCGATGCCCAAAATGAGCCACCCCCGGTCCTGGCCAACAGTCGCCAAGGCTTTTCTCCTGGCACTTGCTTTACTTCACGGTTCATGGGTAGTTAGGGTTCCTGTAATCTTTTTCATACTGCTAAGAAGGCTAAACATAAGGGCAACATGTTCACTGGGGTCATCAGGTGCTGTCCCATCTTTCCTGCATTTTCTGAGTCGCTTCAACAAGCAAACATCGCGTAACCCGTTGATGCTTGGGACACTTGCATACCTGTGGTCCACATTGTCCGCATGATCACGTTATGCACATCAGATCCGAAACAGACTAGCCCTGACAAAGGGCAGGGATAGATGGATGTCGGGGCTATGGTGTCGATCTTGGAGGGATTTGCGAAGGGTTTGAAAGTAAAAGGCGGGGGGTGTGAGTTTGAGCCAAGCTTACTCTTAGTAGTAAAGTAGGTACCCGTTTTAACTCTTTTGGGCCTTACTGTGGATTGAGGGTTTAGGGTCCCGGTAAAAGAAAATAGCCTCAGAACCTACGCCTACTTCAAAGAACTAACAGTATCCTCTCTATCGCTCTCTCGTTTGATGGCTGAGAATAGTTTTTGTGCAGAAAGCAAACGAAAACAACGTGATACTCATAACTCACACGGTAAGGGTACCCATCAAGGGTGTAGGAATAAGATTTATGTTTAGAGTTCAGAGTTTGGCGCTCCGGGTTCATCCCATGCTATGTCACAGCTCAAAGCTTACCCAAATCCTTAAGCTTCAAAACCCTGAACCCTGGACCCTATAGACCCAAACATCTCACAAAAATTAGCGAGAAAAAGAAGCGGCGTCGAGGAGATGTCCAGCCCCAGCTTTTTCAATCACGACCCGTGGCATACATATAGAGTCGAGGGCTTCGAACTACTGAGTTTGGGGCTTAGGTCTGCGCTCAACGCTTCCGATTCCGATAATACGGTGAGGGCTGCGTAGCTGTGAGTGTTGTTAGTTTGAAGGCTTTTGTGGTTTGGGCAGCAAAAGTCCTTCTGGACCAAGCCTTAGAAGAATTTACGCCTCGCATCCCATTTACTTTTGCGCAGAAAAGCCGTCGCAAAGCCCTGTGAAAGTAGAAAAAATCCGATGAAGCGTAGAATATGCAAAGTGCCTTACCCGAAGGCCTTGAAGCCCTAACCTCATGGTCTAATCTGAATGGTATAGCATGGAGCAAAGATGAGCGAAAGTTCCCGAACCGTGAGTTCTAATGATGTACGTGGCATCAGCATGCACCAACTGCCTTACTGCGGATCTTATTGACTGTCAGGTTTGTCATAAGGTTCGGAGCATGGCTCCGATAATGGGCGCAATCGGGCCCACAAGCGCACGAGGAGCTAGTATGATGCTGCTTGTGATTTAGATCACGTTGGATATCGCTGGCGGTGACATAAATCTGAGGGCGATGATGGTTGGGATGGCGGTAACGGGTCAACATACACAGTAATCACCTATGGTATGGAAGCATGAAGCGGCAAGTAGGCCGGCAATGAATCCCATCGGCTGGTGCGCATGCGGAGCTTTTTCGTTGGTCGCTGATGCCTAAACTTCTACCTCCAACGCATTAGCAAAACTCACGATGTCCTTCAACAGTACTGCTGGAATTTGGGAAAAACAGGTTGGATTCAACGTACACAGCAGGATCCCCGTCCCTTCAATCGTCGAGGTTAGTAGCAGTGAAGGTAACCATGAATGGTCTTGCCTAGACACTTGTGAAGAGCTCAGGAGTTCGGGTTTCGGATTAAGGGCTTTCAGGGCTAAAGTGTGGGTTGAGGATTTAGGGCTGCCGCCTCCCTGCCGATAGGATGTCTGGAAGCTTGAGACGTTCGACGGCCTCTCTAAGTGGGTCTTTATAATTAATTAGAACAGGGTTTGGATGTATATTTTGGTACAACTGTAATCAAGAAGGAGCCCCAAGAAATAGTGTGACGAACTAACTTTCTATATGAGGTCCAGCAACCATCCGAGGGTATCCGAAGCCAACATGCCAAACCCGAACAGTCAAACCGAACCCCGGGCTTTCAACTCGGAATAGGGTTGAATGATTAAGGTTTAGGATCCAACCAGGCCAGAAACGGAGCTTTAGTTTCCGTGAATGCAAGCCCACTTGACAGCCAAGTCCTGAATCCTGCTCCAATCTAAAGCCCTCACCCTCAACTTTCTGGTTCTAACCCCTACATAAGCCCGTTCAGGCGCAGGCATCTTCGCATCGATCTTGCCAGCAATGGGGGCACCCACGGCAAATCGCTCGTTGCCTTTCTTGGCTCCAGCACGTGGAGGGTTCGGGGAGGTTCAGGAGTCAATAGCACCCCCCACATTTGAGTTACAGCATTCAAGGTCGAAGGAGAGTTTTGGGTTTCATCAGGGTTCGCGCATAAAGCCATGTTGAAAACGGGCTGGCGTTGTTGGGGTAAAGGATGGGTCTAGGTACTCATCTTGACTCTAGCATCCCACCAGCCGGAAACTCTAAAAAAACCCTAAACCCTAAACCCGAAACTTTATAACCCCTAAACCCAAACCCCCACACCCTAAACCTTAACTCGTAAAGGCTGCGTCTGCCTACTCTATGGAGGCTCTCCGTCGACAGAGGCGTTGTGCCATAAGGCCAAAGACCCGAAGGGTCAAAAGCACCCAGTCATCAGTTAGGGTTTAGGGTTAGGGTTTAGGGTTCAGGTTCAGGGTTCAGGGTTTAGGAGGGTAACCTATTGCAAAACTACGATCTGTGACCCAGGTGCCTGATTATTAGGTCCCTTGGACCCTGAGCCCTTAGAAAACCCTGTTAGAAAATCCCCTAAGCCACATAACATATCATGGGCCTTCCTTCAAGAGCTTCAGCGCTGCTGGGGCTGGCATCGGCGGATCCTCGCAGGGTTTTCGCTGAGAATTCTTGGGCTAAGGGGTTTATGGGTGAGGACAGTGAGACTAGGACTTTAGGGTTTAAGGGTTTAGGATTCCGGCCGGTTTAACCAATTATGAATTCAGGATTTTATAAGGTAGCCCCCAAAAGGAACTACAATGGAGACTACAGGTAGGGCTCATACTGTACTGCGGCTGCGGGTAGAGCTCGCCGGCCATCCTAGGTTCGAAAGATTTAACCCAGAGATTCCAAAACCCCTTAATTAATCAATATTCCTTAAATCATATTAGGGATCCTATTATAATTTAAGGTATATTCCTTAAATCATATTAGGGATCCTATTATAATTTAAGGTATATTCCTTAATTAAGGGGTTTTGGAGTCTCTGGGAACACAAACCCCCGAGGCTCGCAGGACTCGCACTTTAGCGCACTTCGGCCCGACGACCATACCATGTAGGGGGCCTTAATACTTAGAATAGGGTTTAGGGTTTAGGGTTTAGGGTTTAGGGTTTAGGGTTTAGGGTTTAGGGTTTAGGGCTTCTTTAAAGGGATCCTTAAAGGGTTTTGATAAGGGATCTATAGTAAGGTTTCAATTAGGGGCCTTAATACTTAGAATAGGGCTTCTTTGAAGGGATCCTTAAAGGGTTTTTATAGGGGATCTATAGTAAGGTTTCAAGTAGGGGGCCTTAATAATTAGACTAGGGCTTCTTTCAAGGGATCCTTAAAGGGTTTTTATAAGGGGTCTATAGTAAGGTTTCAAGTAGGGGCCTTAATAATTAGACTAGGGCTTCTTTGAAGGGATCCTTAAAAGGGTTTTATAAGGGGTCTATAGTAAGGTTTCAATTAGGGGCCTTAATAATTAGACTAGGGCTTCTTTAAAGGGATCCTTAAAGGGTTTATATAAGGGATCTGTAGTAAGGTTCCATATTCGGGGCCTTGATAATTCGAATAGGGCTTTGGGGTAGATTACACCAGAATCATAATTTAATGAGGAACCCCCACAATAGTATTGGTAATTATTTAGGCCCCTCTATTACCCATTTTGAGCCTCGAAACTTTGGAGTGGAGGGTTTAGGGTTTAGGGGTTAGGGGTTAGGGGTTGGGGGTTAGGGTTTAGGGGCTTAGGGTTTAGGGGTCCCGTCTAGGGTTTAGGGGCTTAGGGTTTAGGTGAAGGCATTGGAGGTTAATAGCGCTGTATAGGGCTCAATTCAGGCTCGGAGACAACAGTGTTGAAAGAGTTCATGGGGCTTCATTTCGCTTTGTGCTTGATGGCTGATAGGGCTTATAGCGAGAAATGCCGCCCAAGAAAATCAGGTGGTCGGCTTAAACACTGTATCGCAGGGGCTTATGCAGGGGCCTTGATAATTAGAATAGGGTTTTCGGGGTTCCTGATTATAATTATAGTATAATATACGCCCAAACCCTATTCTAATTATTCAGGCCCCTAATATAGAAGCGCATTATAGATCCCTTATAGCCTGATAGAACCCTTTAAGGATCCCTTTAAAGGAGCTCTATAAGGCCCCTACATTACTAGTCCCAAATCCTGGATCCTATACAGAGACCTTGAGGATTTTGATGGGCGCTTGAGACTGCCTCTGCGATCCGTTTCAGGCACAGTATAGGGCTTACCTGTGGCCCAAAAGACCTACCATTTCAAGGGACTCTCTCTCTATCGCTCTCTCTCTATATATATATATATATATACACACACATATATATATATATAGAAACCATAATAAGCAACCCCAAAAAAGGTGGTTTTCTCGGCTACTAGGATTCGGATTGACCAGTGTCCGGCACTGGAGAGCTCGAAGGCCGGCGCTTCTGACGAAGGGACTAGGACCCCCAAAAAGCACATAAGCAAAAAATAGGATAGGGATATCCCATATAAACCCCCTTACAATGAAGCCCAATAAGGTAGGGATATCCCTATAAAATGCTTATGCTTATCTCCTTTTTGGGTTCCTATGGGACGACCGCCGGCTCTGAAGGCTCAACCTCCTGGTCGGAGCAGCTTCAGGTGCCGCGGCGCGGTTTAGGGTTTGGAGGTTTAGGGGTTTAGGGTTTAGGGTTTAGGGTTTAAGGTTTAGGGTTTAGGGTTTAGGGTTTAGGTGGCGAGCACCTCGGCGCGTCGCCGCGGTCGTAGATTTTGTAGCAGCGGTCTCTTCGTAGTACCTTTGCCAGGCCCTGTCCGATTTGCCTTGGGCCTGCCTCGGAGAACCCTAAACCCTAAACCCTAAACCCTTAACCCTAAACCCTAAACCCTAAACTCTAAACCCTAAACCCTAAACCCGGAGAGCGTCGGCATTGACTGCTTCGGCCCGGCCGACAAGTGGGACACAGTGGATCCCGTTGCCGAGCATATCGCAGGTCATACCCTGCCTTGACTACCCTTTTAAGCTCCGGTTCTGTATGCAATTGATGATAACCTGCAGAGCATGGTTATGGTCCATACGATAGTTTAGGGTACAGCTATGTAGTGCTTGGGGGCCCGGGTGTGTGGGGTCTGTGACAGTGAAGCTGTGGGATTGCGGGGTTTAAGGTTCGGGTTTGGGACTGGCGGATCTGGGTTCAGGCCAGATATCTGCAGAGCTTGAATCCTCGACATTCCTATTTGGAGGCCCAGGGGACTTAGTGAGTAGGTTATGAGTTATAAGTAAAGTTATAAGTTATAAGTACCCTAAATGGAGTTATCCAAATAATAACCCTACTTGTAACCGACTTACTAAGTCCCCTGGGCCTCCAAGTGCACCTTACACTACCTGATAAACCCTATACTTCCTAAACCCTAAGCCCTTAACCCCCAGCCGAACCGTCCTCGGGAGTGCGGACGCCGTGGGCACCAATGAGCGCCAAAGCATCGGCGGAGTTGCTCATGGAGGGAGGGAGTTGCCTGAGCTCTTCTTGCTTTAGGACAACATATTCAAACATGGTTATATTAAGGATGTAGGATCTACCGAATTAGGGTTAAGAGCATGAATAGCTGAAATGGGTTTATTAAGACTTTACGGCTGTGATAGCTGTCGCTTGAAATCCACAAGTGATGCTGCATCCGGTACCGGCAAGACTACGGGCGGCTTGAGTGCACTGACGTGACCAAACCCTGATTCCAGGCTGGATGCATGCCAGCTTGAAGGGGGACGTGGTATGTATGTAACCGCTTGAGTTTAGTCTTACTTGTTTAGGGTTGGGCTAGGGCTACGGCTAGGGCTGAAGCTCAGAAATTACGGCTCTTGTCTACAGCTATGCACACTTACAATCTAAAGCGTTTTGCCTTCTTCCCTAGTAATTATCAGTTATCCTGGCACCTTCAAAAAGAAGTATGCAAACGGTGTCAATCAATTATCCTAAACCTTCATCCTGACACCTAAACTTCCTAGACTGGGGTCTTCAACGCAATTGCACTTCCTTCGCGAAGCCCTGCGACAAGCTCCCTGTGCTACCCTCGCACAGCTCCAGAACACGAAGAGACGCAACTTCCCTGCAGAAATACTTATCAACAAAGCTCCGTAGACGCAAACCCGAACCTCAAAGACCCTAAACACTCTAGGTTCTAACCGCAAAAAGATGGGTGAACAGATGAATATGGCCTGGAGGCATCTTATGCGCCATTCATAGTCATAGTCGGGAACCCGAACCAAACCCTTTAGCCCAATACCCTGGCCCAAAAAAGTGTAAACTTTTCTTTTAGTAGGGGTTTAATATACCAAAAAAGTTTAAAGTTTACCTATTGGGCTCCTAAGCAAAAATACTGCTTCAGGCCCCTTGAAGAGTCGAGTCGCAACTTCGACGCCAAGAGCTCTGCCTACAGGCCCAAGCTCCGAGGTCGGTAGGGTTTACGGGCCTTGGGTAAGGTTTAGGGTTTAGGGTTTAGGGTTTAGGGTTTAGGGTTTAGGGTTTAGGGTTTACCCAGAGGGTCCATATACACTACCATTATGGAATTAGGTCCCAAAAGACCATCCCTACTTGTGTTTTGGGGACCTAATTCCATCATAGTAGTACATGTGGACCTTTTGGGTAAGAGTTGAAGCTGAGGGTGTTGCAAGGTGCAGGTCACGAGATATTCGGGTGGAGGCTGGTGGGTTCTGTGTTTCGGACTCAGTCTTCGGCTTCTGCTACTGCCCTGCCGCCCGTGCTGCCACTGCCACTGCTATTGAGAACCCTAAACCCTACCTATAGTCTCCAGCGTACTTCATTTTTGGGGGTTACCTTAAAGGATCCTTAATACATAACTGGTGAAACCAAAAAACTTTTTTGGGGCTACCTTATAGGATCCTGAATACATAACTGGTGAAACCAAAAAGAGGAACTACGATGGAGACTACAGGGAAACCCTGAAGCTGCTACTGCTACTAACGAACTAGAGACCGCCAAGCCGGCACTGGGAGTATGCCATCTGCTTTAGGGTTTTAGGGTTTAGGGTTTAGGGTTTTAGGGCTGTAGGGCTTTAGGGCTTGAGGGTTTAGGGCTTTAGGGCTTAGGGTTTGGGGTTTAGGGTTTAGACCCCTCGACATGAGCCCTTGCACTCTTCCCTCTTCTAAAAAGTCACCCCCAAAGAGCCGAAGTTTTTGACATCCGAATCCTAAAGAAGCCGCACCTGCATGCATGCAACTACCAAGTAAGGTCGGATTCGTAAAGCGGCACTGAGAAGCCACAGAACCTCCAGAAGCCGGCGCCTGCTTTGGCGAGGGGCCGAAGAAGTCGACTTCACCTGTCTCCAGCTTGTAGACTGCACCTTGGGCTTAGGCTTTAGGGTTTAGGGGGTAAGGGTTTAGGTTTAGGGTTTAGGGTTCCTTGAAGGGCTCACTTTCCCAATAAGCCAGGGAAATAAAAGGTTAAACTTTCAGATTGCTACTAAATTATAAGAACCCAAAAGCTTAAAGGTTGGGTATTGGAGAACTATAAGTGGGGACACTGTGAACCCAGAGACTCCAACATCCATGTTTTTGGGGATTCCGGGTTGGGGGTCTTACCCGCGAAGCGCCATCCGTGAGGAACGCTCCAAAAACTTATAAACCCAAAAAGCCCTGAACCCTAAAAAACCCTAAGCCCTGAACCCTAAAAAGTCCTAAACCCTACAAGTCAAAAGTCCTAAGCTCTAAACCCTCAACCCTAACAGCCCTAAAACCCTGAATCCTAAAACCTGCCAGGTTTAGTCAAGGCATCTTTGAGTCTGGTAGCTTTGGGAAGGACAGGATGTCAGGTGCAGGGGTCTTGTTAGGGTTTAGGGTTCAGGGTTTAGGGTTTAGGGCTTGAGTTTCAGGGCTTAAGGGTTTAGGGTTTCAGGCTATAAGGTGCCTTTAAAGGACGTCAGGTTTAGGGTGTCAAGTTTCGTGGCGGAGAGCAGCTTCTTTACCCTAAACCCTAAACCCCAAACCCTAAACCCTTTGGTGTGGCTTCGCTTGGCTTGGCCCAGCCTTGTTTTCCCGCAGAGGATTCTTTTGCTTCCGAAACCCGAAACCCGAAACCCTAAAAGCCCTAAACCCTAAAAACCCTAAACGCCCTAAACCCTAAAAGCCCTAGGCCCTAAAAACTCCAAACCCTAAAAGCCCTAGCCCTAAACCCTAAAACCCCTAAAGCCCTTATAGATCCCTGTATTTAAGGATCCCTTTAAGGAGCCCTAAACCCTAAAAGCCCTAAACCCTAAAAGCCCTAGCCCTAAACCCTAAATAAAACCCCTAACGCCCTTCTTGATTCCTGTAAGGATCCATCTAACATAAGGAACGCTAAACCCTAAAAAGTCCTAAACCCAAAGCCCTCTTAGATTTCGCCAACGAATCTTGGGCTTGGCCTCTGGGATCCTTCGGTGTTTTTTCCGGCTCGGCTCGGCCCTTTTTTTGTTGGAGGCTCCTGGTCCTGGTTCTCGGAAGCCGTCAGGGTTTAGGGTTTAGGGCTGAGAGTTCAAGGTTTAGGGTTGGGGGTTCGGGGTTTAGGGTTCAGGGTTTAGGGTTCAGGGTTTAGGTTTCAGGGTTTCGGGTTTAGGGTTCAGGGTTTCGAGTTTCGGGTTTAGGGAGTCCATAGCCTTCCGGACGATTTCAGCTCGACAGGGTTTCAGCTCGACAGGGTGCCAGTCAACTTGGCTATTTTATATCTGAGTTCGGCCTTCCGTCCTCACCCTGGCCCTGGCTGTGGGAGTGAAGACGATTTTGGGGATTAGGGTTTAGGGGTTTAGGGCTTAGGGCTTTCCGATTAGGGCTTGGGATCAGGGTTTAGGGTTTGGGGGTTCTTGTGCCCACTGAGCCTGGTCGCAAACTGTCGCTGCCACTTCCACCAGCATGTGGATGATCCCGTCCAGATTCAGCAACAGCTTCTCGAGAGCCCGCGTAGATGCTGTCGAAGCGCTGAGCCGCAAAGCGCGGCGCCTCATATGCTTTGTCCATCAGCATGTCGATGCTGGCAAACTCAGCGGCGTAGTGCTTGAACTTGGCCGCCATCTTAGATGAATTCGCCAAAGCTCTAGCTTCGCCACACGCCTATGATCTTTTTAGATAGGTTCCGCAAGGGCACGTGCATAGAATGCTTCACCAAGACTTGGACGGCTTTCCCGATGCCACTCTCTCTGGCTTCTTCCAGAGTAACTCCCTCCTCTCGAATGGAGGCCAACGCGGAGTTTAGGGGCTTAGGGCTTTCCGATTAGGGCTTGGGGATTACATAGGGTTTAGGGGTCGTGGGTGCATCCCGAAACAACAAGAAAGAAACTAAGTCGTAGGGACATTCCGGAGCGCAGAGCTTTGGATCACGACAGAGTGGTTTAATTCGAAGTGTGGAGCTTTACAATAAAGCCTTCCAAGTTCAGGCCCTAAGCGCTTCTAAACCCTGGTTACTCAGAGCTAAACCCTAAACCCCAACTCTGAAGCCCTAAGCCTTAAAACCTAAACACCAAAGCCCCTAAACCCTCAACCCGAACCCCCAGTCCCTAAACCCCTCACTCCTTATAGATCCCTTTCAGGATCCCTTTAAGGAGCCCTAAACCCTGAACCTAAGCCTCCATGTGCTCAGCCGCGTACCATGGATTTCCAACTCCCCACTCTTGGCCAGGGCCTGATCGCAAGGGTTTAGGGCTTAGGGTTTGGGGCTTAGGGTTTAGGGTTTAGGCTTTAGGCTTATAGGGTTTGGGGTTTTGGGGGTTGGGGGTTTAGGGTTCGGGGGTTAGGGGCTTATAGGGGGTTTGGAGAGTTCAGGAGTTGTAGGGCTAACAGTTTTAGGGGTTTAGGTTTAGCGGACTAGGCCTGAAGGGTTTAAGGTTTTGGCAGGGCTTAGGGTTAAAGCGAAACTGTCATACGAGCCAAAACAACACCCTCGAAACCCTAAACCCAAAGACCTAAACCCTAAACCCAAAGCCCTAAACCCTTTCCCCTCAACCCTCAGCCCTAAACCCTCAACCCTCTTGGAATACAACCTCACAGGCCCTACAGGGGCTTGGAGGTCGAGGTTCTCAGGCTTTGGGGCTATGGGTTTAGGGTTAAGGGGGTTTAGGGTTTAGGATTCAGGGTGTAGGGTTTATGGTTTAGGCCTAATTACGGGTTTAGGGTTGAGGGTTTACCTGGGTCCTAAAAGACCTGTCTTTGTCAGGAGCCATTGTAAAGAGATCAGAAGAAGGAGCCCTAAGAAGGGAGGTTCTGTAGGGTCAGATTGGGCTTAGGGTTTATAGTTTTTAGGATTTAGGGTTTAGGGTCCGGGTAGGGCTTAGGGTTTTACAGGATTCTGGGGAAGAGGCAGTACGTCCACATGTCTGCAAGCTCAAGATGTTAGGTGAGGTACCATACGGGGCCGAATAATTAGAATATGGTTTCGGGGTATATCACATTGCAAGTAAAAGTATGACAGAGAACCCTCAGGAGGAGTGTGGGGAATTATTGAACAATCGTTGAGGCTTCCATTTTCCCACTGCTGGGCCGAAGGGGTTCGAGTGCCCTGAACAACTAGGTAACTAGGGGATAGGAACTCGGTGCTTAGAGGGATACTGGAGAGAAGAACCACGTGGCACACTTTTCAAAACCCCTCGTTGACTGGCAGTGCTGCTCACCAAAGCCCTTCAATCCATCGTGTCTAAACCCTAAACCCTAAACCCTTAACCTCGGCCTTGGGGCTGTCGGCCGTCCCTTTGCTCCGGCTGCTCCAGGCTCTTGCCCGACTCGACCCACCTCCTGCGGAAGTCTTGTATATCCTCCTCTATGAAGCGCGCCGAAGTCAGCTTCGTCGAGGCATTCCAAAGCTTCGTGGAATGCTGCAGAGTCGACACTCTGCAAATCTTTCAGACAGCTGAAACACGCTGTCTTCGGTGCCATCGTATCGTGCTAAATATCCAGTCCAAGTGTCCAAGTATTTCCGCTGCTGTGTGCGTGCTACGAGCATGCGTGCGCCGCCTGCGCGCTGCTGCTGTCTGGTGCTGTTGTTGCCGCTAAGTGCTGCTAGATGCATTGCCTGCCACTGCATGATCATGTTGTCTTGTCGGGGAACTAAAAGTCGACCGTAATAAAACCCTACACCCTAAACTTTACTTCTGAGCACAAGTAGCTGCGGGAATCTTCCTGGTCAGGCACCTGACGAGCCTACAAGAAACCCGGAAGCTGCAATCCGAAAAACCGAGCAACTGTAGACCCGGAAACCTAGGGTTTAGTTAAGGGGTTCAGGGTTTAAGGTTTATGGTTAAGGGGTCCAGGGGTTTAAGGCTTGGGGTTTGCGGGCTTGGAGTTTAAAGTTTGGGGTTTAGTGGTTTAGGGTTTAGGGGTTTGGGGTTGGAGGTTTGGGGTTCGGGGTTGTCAGGAAAACCTCGAACCACACCTCAGAACCCAAAACGCCAAACCAAGAACCGCTCAAGTTCACAGAGTTTAACCCTGGGCTTCCAACGACCTTTTAGTTGGGGCAGACCCCTTAGGCACTGTCAGGATTAAACCGCAAAGCCGAACAGGCCCTCAACCCCGATGCCGAAACCGAGGTCATTACTCCATCTCCATAAATCCGAGGTCCCAAACACTGCTGATGATAAACCCACAAGCACTGCATTTCTGTAGCCGAGACACTCGAATGGGCTCACAGAACTTCAACAGGAAGTTGATGGTGTTGAACACGTTCACCTGTGAATGAGCAGCTCAAGGTTTTCGACCTCAAGCCGCCGAACAGCCTTTACGCTGTTGCTACTATGAGTAGCATTATTAACATTTGTATTACGATTGTTATAATTATTGTTATAACAACTGATTATGGTGATGATGATTATTATCCAAAGCCCCCCCCCCCCCCCCCCCCCCCC